TACTTCAGTAATATTGTGCTTCAACTCCATCGCTGATAACAACAACGATGTTTATAGGAAGCAATAATACACGTTTAGATATCGAGTGTATCCAGCTCAAATATGAGATTCGTGGGTAATATGTTTACGTGGGGTCGAGCTAACAAAATATCTAACACGACTGCTAGCACAAGCTCTAGGTGGTGTTCATTGCCATGCTGAGAGAACTCCTATTGAAGGAAGCGCACTCCTTAGAGGCTAGAGGCGGAGGTCTTCTGGATATATCATATAAAATATTTGATATTCGGTGAGATTTGAAATGATATATGAAATATCTGATTGATATCGGGTTTGTCTACCCAATATATATTAACCCAATATATATTAATATCGAATATTATCAATATTATATTCGAAAAAATATCACTAATACCAAGTTAACATTAGCCCCTGGATACACCGTTCACCCTAAATAGTCGTGTGACCTAAATAGTCGTGCACCTTTGATAATCATTCCACCGGTTTTGAAAAATATTTTTAGTTTCACCTTCAATTGAGAAAAGAGACCGGAATCGGGTAGATCTCGGCAATACGAATTGCGTGGTATGTTTTGTTCTTCGTAAATACGAATGGTCTTCGAAATAACTAAATTTCAAAACAGGGCGAGGCGCCCTTCAGGTCGTACACGATAAACAGTCATGGCACGACTGATTAGGGTGAACGGTGTACCGTCATCCAACTTGAACACCCGATTACGCGATACCCTCCCCAATGCGGATCTATCATTTTGGACAGGGCTGCCATCCCCTAACTTCATTTGTCTCGTTTGAAATGAAGGCCCCTACTCACGACTTCCAAAGCTCAGCATCATGTTGTTTTAAGTTTAACATTTTATTCATACCACCAGCGGGGCAATAGCCATGAATATGAGCTTCATCTTTGAAGCCCAAGCGATACACTGCAACTTCGCATAACTATGTATGTTCTATGTATCTCTATACACGAATCCTGTCCGTGTGTCACGCAGTCACGCTTTACGCCCCTAAACATAAACCTGTCATTTCGACTACGCTACCGCGGTCTTCTGCACCCATTATTTACTCATCAAATCGACTCGCACTGGCTTTTAAACTATTTACTAAATTACAAAACTAGACATGGAAACGCTAAAAATCGTACTTACACGGAGCCGATCGGACTTTACCGGGTGTGATTATCACGTGATGTGATTCACATCCCCCATTTGAAAGTTGGCGCGCGGCGGACAGACGGACCGAGGCAGCGAGCGGGAGGGCGCCTGGCGTACGGGAGTGAGCAGCGGAGTGTAGCGGCAGCGGACACCACCACAGGGAGTACATGCATACATCTACATAAATAAACTACTTTACGGTTTCGGGAGTTCCGCCTGTTGGGATAACTGGTACCTTCAGGGCAGTCGAGGATTTATAGCACGGAATTAGGGGTAGATGGTGCTTATTAGGCGTTCTTAGGGACACCTAATTAAGAGTCGTGGGATGTTGCAGTAGACCGCCATACCTACGAGACGGCCCACTCCGCGTCGAGACACCCACGGACGGCGCAACCGCCGGACAGTCGCTCAACATTGCTACTTTGTATGAGTGTCCGACGTAATTATTTGGCATGATTATATTGTAGTACTGTGGCTTTCTGCTTTAAACCCGTTACCATCCTTAATGAGGAGTGTTTTAAACGCCTTTTTAGGATAAGAAAAATTGCAGCTGGCACCCGCCGCCGTGTTAAGACTTAGCTCTGCCGCACCTTTTGCTCTTCGGAGCCGCGACGCTGAGGCGCCCATGTTTGCCTGCCAGCGGCAGGCGAAGTCTCATACCCAACCGAGTTTTGGCAGATCCATTTGGCGATAAAAGCCGGCTTTGCCGGCCCGCCTGTTTAAAACTCGGAGTAGTGGTCGTGTTACACGTTGGATTGGGGGAAACCTCGGTTCCGTGCTTCTGTGCCCACGACAGAGCGCATGCAGCCAGCCATGTAGCTTGGGTGGGGACCCGAGCCGAGCCACTGGGGACAGTGACTGGAGGGCTTATGGCTTACCTTTTGTTTAGCGGCAAACTGAGACCGTCAGTTCCTTTCGGGGGGTGACGGAATCTTTTTTGCTTCGGCAACTGGAACCGCTTACCGCATTTCCGACCCACTCACACCCAAACATACAATCCAATAACACACAAGACAAAGCGAGCGGTATTTGCATTGCTACATAAGGGGCTTCTAGCCAATTGCGACCTGTGTCGTAGTAGAAGAAAGCTTGATGTGTGCTACCTTGCCTACGCTTTTTCGGGTTATGTACCAATTTGCGGTCTAAACGATCCTTCGATGCCTATGATGCCAGTGGATATCCCAGTAAAAAAGCAATACCCAACACTGACCCATTATCCCTTACACTTCGCCGAAACGATCGAGTCTCGTAATGTAGCTCAGGAGATTTTGAGAGCCAAATTGGAGCCTTCAGCAACGATTTTAACGATGTTGGATGTTGGCCTGTAGCCGACCAACTTGTTTTATGCCACAGGCGCCATGATGCTCTCCACCAGACGGACAACGTAGTTGGATGTAGGAGACATTTAAATCTCTTTGGCGATATATCCAAGAAACTCAGTTTATCGTTTACAGGAACACTTGGCGTCAACTTCATAACTGCTTCGTGAACGAGAGCTGGTCAGAGATCGTCTTTATCTTGTTGTAGCTGTCGGACAAACTGTTGAAGTAAGTTAATGCGTTGGACTTTCAGCTGGACTTGAAGGTTTGGTATCCGGATGCGATACAGAAGCGCTGATGGGGCAAGTTGGACGAAGTTGGAGTCAGAATCGTTTTTCTTGGATAAGATGAACTTGTTTAGCATCCTTTGCCAACGTTGAATGCAGTCGAGCGGAATATTGGTGTGGGGTGTGAAGTGCAACAGTGTTGATAGGATCAGTGTGTGAGTCAGGAGCAGTCTTCCTCTCAGCGTTCTAGCTCTTCGCCCCCAAATGCCAAATCCTCGATAAAATTTGTTGTTGAGCTCGGCTAGTATATGGTCGTTCGAAACTTAATGTAGCTTGAACGTGGTATTTTACTTCCGTCCGAGAGGAAGTCGTGTATTACACTACTGTACAAGAAAGGAGATCGCAGTGACGTAGGGAACTATCGACCTATAGCATTGATGGCAGTGGACGTTAAAATCCTGTCTAAAACGCTAACCTACCGGCGGAAAGACGTGATGCCTTCGATTATCCGAAATGATTCGTTAACGGACTCTTGGCACGCTCACCAGGAGATAACAGCTT